CGGAAAAACAACATTGCGGAGCTGCCAGCATAGGTGACACTAAAAACATACGGTTGTTTGATATTTTTGTTTAAATAAAAGAAAATTCAAAACACTACCGTTTGTCCTTGGCAATGCTGTGGGAGTCTACAAAAGCAAGTCTGTTTTGGGCTAAGGCAGCGCTGCGGCCGCTGCAGGGTTGTATAGGAGATCTAGAGTTGTTGGGTGGGAGACTATACTATTGCCGTGAAACAACCTTGTTTTACTCTGAGTGTCTCTCCCAAAGCAGCACTGTGAGGCGTGAGCAAGGTTATGGGTGCAAGTACACTAGTCGGATTTTTCTTGTGGCCAAAACGTGGTTGAAATTTTGTTGGCGTGACTGTTAGTTGGCCAAATATGAATTAAAAAGAAAACCCCAACACAATTGTTTTGGCCAAAGCGGTGCCGCGAAAGGGTTGCAGCGGTGTGGAATTTCTTTTTGTGTTCTGCTCCTATCCTAGTGCCCTGGACCAACAACACTGATCTTGTGAGGAGTGTAGAAAAGAGGGAAACGAACCCGTTTTGGGACAAGCAGTCTTGTGGGAATAAAAGCAACGTTAACGTTGTTGGAATATTGTGGCCAAATAAAAAATATATAACATATAATTTTTTAATGGCCGCATATAAAAAAAACAATAAATAAATTTGGGCCAAAACAGCGCTGAGAGGCCTCACAACCGGCCACAATAAAAAAAAAGAGTTATTGTCGCCAGAGCAACGTTGTGGCGAGAAAGAAGAAAGGAATCAGTGTTGTTCGAAGAGGTAGCTTTGCGGGAAGGGGAACAATATATATAAAATAAATAAATAAAAATTGCAGCACTGCTGAGGCAACAACTACGTTGTTGGGGATTTAGTTTGGGCCTAGTAGAAAAACAACGCTGCGGAACAAAGACAACGGAAAGAAAAAACTGCTTTGTTGGGCTATGCGCTGGCGTGGAGTGGCGAGAAGGTTGAGTTTTTGCAGGCTTGTAGTACTGCTGGTCCTCTTTATTCTTCCGTCTCCGTCTAGAGAAAGGTCAGTAATTCCTTTTATTTCTAGGCAAAATACACTTCTATAGCCAAAACTTTCGCGTTTGTGCCAATAATAGCCAAATTTGGCGAAATACCACTTATAGCCATTTCCGTCCAATTCTTTAACGCTGTTAACGTTAAGTGTGACTGGGCAAACGGCACGGCTTACGTGGCCAGCACTTATTTCCCTTTTTCTCTCAACTTGGTCCACGTGGATATAATTAATTAAAAAATTAACTGAGAAAAAAAACCAAAACCCCACATTTGACCCACCTCCTTTTCCCTGTCTTATCGTCTTCTTCGAACACCCACCCTTTTCCCTATCTGAGAAAGACGAAGGCGACCATGTCGACGATCTGCTCCGACAACCCTCGTACCCCCTGCTATTCCTTCCTCCACCATCGATATACCCCACAAATGCAAAGGAATGCAATCGAGAAAAAACTGGGGAAAAACATAAACCCAACTCAGCCTCCAACTGTAACAGAAACCCAGTTTTCAAAATCCATCAGAGAAAAAACTGGGGAAATCAAAGACAAAAAATAAACTTTACCTGCCTGTACCGGTGAAGCAACAAAGATTGAGGAGGAGTCGTTGTCACCGATAGGAGTGGCGGCGCGTGGGGTTGTGGATTTAGCGTCAATAACTGTCGATCCATTGGTATCGAGGTTGAAGGGAAGACTGGGTATTGAATTCGAGTGAACGGGGCGGTGTGTCTTTGTGGAAGAATGTTGAGCCGCCGCAAGGTGGAGGAGCTAGGGATGTCGATTTATAGGGGAAGAGGATTTGTTAAGTAATTGTCGAATCGATTAGAAAGGGGAATAAGATTCTTGGGGAAGAACCCTAATTTTGAAATCAGCCAAAAGTTGGGGAAGAAGGGCCGTGACTCGTGCGAAGCAGATGGGGAGGAAAATGAATGATGGGTGTGAGACCTAGTGATAGCGCTCCCGAAAATTGCTCCGGGGACGAGGATGGCGGAGGAGAAGCTTTACCCGAAAGTGAGGTGGGATTACGAGAGTGCGGTGGCGAAATGCAAGCTGAAGCTCAAAGGCCTCATCGCCGAGAAGCACTGTGATCCAATTGTCCTCCGATTAGCGTACTGATACATACACTGAGATCATAGTCCAATCTTTTTGTTGGCGTACCTCCGATCAGGAGAAAAAGTTGGCTTTCCGATCCGGCACCGTAAAGAATGGCGACGCCGCTTGGGGGAGGGATTGCCGAGGCGGAGAGAGGAATGGTGAGAAGAAGGCAGGGTAATTTTTTTATTTAGGTATAAATAATAAATAATAAATAATTTAAATATCTGATGTGTCATTATTTGTTTATTTGGCGCTGACGTGTCCGTTGAGTTGGCGCCTGGTCAGCAAACCGTCAAATAAGTTGACGGTGTTATTAACACCGTTAAAGTTTCTAACGGAAATGGCTATATTTGTCCTACAATAATTTTAAAAGGTGGTTATAAGTGGTATTTCTCCAAATTTGGCTATTATTGGCATAAACGCGAAAGTTTTGGCTATATAAATGTATTTTGCCTTATTTCTATCGTTGTTGTGCATGCCAAAGACAACTAGAGCAGGTTTGTTCGGCTGCTACCGGTCCAGAGTAAAAACAGGGTCATCATTGTTATTGCAAAGTCTAAACCACAACGTTGCTAAGGCCAAGACGCATGAAAACCAAAACACATGTATGTCTAAAGTGAACATTGCATTGCATGAACTCTCGGTGGGTTTTAGTTGGCTAGGGTTTGGCTAAGCATATGCCAAAAAGAAAGAACCAAATGGCCTTCGAGTTGGCCTAACCAAAGATACTGCATGCATGCAATGAGAATTTGAATCCCATGGTTTGGCAAATTGTGATTGCATGACAAACCAAATTCCTACAGTAGGCCAACGTTGGATCTTCACCACAATACTACTGCAGCCTCAAGTTCTCTTCCAACGAGCTTATTTGTGGTTAATTTTAGACAATATTTTAGGTGAGGTGATTAAATTATGTCAACAACTTGGTTCATAAATTCTTATAAACCAAGTTGTGGGGCATTGTTTACACCTAAAATATTTTTGGCCTAAATTCAATGCTGTAATAATGAGTCTCGGCATTTAATTCGATATCGCATGGCCAAAACGATGTCGTATGGAGTTAAGCAATACCGCGGAGAATTTAAGCGAGACCGCGAAGAGGCTCGGCGGTACCGCGGTACTTGAAACGACATTGGTTGAAGACCATGTGTGAGTCATGCGCAGGGCATGTGTTGCTGTTGGACAAGGAATGTTTTTTTATTTTATATTTTTTTTCCTTGTCGGAGGAGGAGAGTAACAGCACCGTTTGGAGTCAAACAATGCCGCAAAGAGATAAAACGGTGCCGCGAACCTCAAAGCTCGAGGCATCGCGAGACTGTGAAAACGGTACAGCAAGGAAGCTCACCGGTACCGCGGACCAGAAAAACGGTACCGCAAGGAAGCTCACCGATACCGCGGCACTGGAAACGACACTGTTTGCCAGAAAACAGGATGGGACCGCGCGCGTAGTATTGGTGTTGGAAAAGGAGTTATTATTATTATTATTTTTATTTCTTGTCGGAAGGGGAGAAGCCGTACCGCATGGAGACAAGCGGCATCGCGGAGAATTAAAACGGTACCGCAGATGTAAAAACGATGCCGCGGGAGGCCTTGATAAGCGGTGCCGATTAAATAAATAAAAAAAACCATATCGGGTAAGTGAAGGGCCTAATTCCGCCCAGCCCAATGCGAGTGCAAACTCTCGGCAGTTCAATGAATTGGAATTTTTTGGCTATGTTAGTGGTGTCGTTTAATTAAAAACGGTACCGCGAGTAAGCCAAACGGTACCGCTGTAGTAGCAAACGACAGTGTTAATATAAAACAATGTTGTGGAGTAAAAGCAAACAGAGCTGTTTGGGGAAGAAAACGGCATCGCGTGAGATTCACACCAACCTAGCGAGGAGGAGATCAAGACGGTTGAGACACGTGGGAGTTCACAACGGAGCAGTTGAGGAAGCGGTTCCACCTAGCGTGAAGACTACGAAGCGGTTTTTTTCGAATAAAAGCAGTGGAGCAAGGAGAAAGAAAGGGACAACAAATCAACACAGAAACACATCTGTCAAACTTTATCTTTTTTCTCTGTAACTCCTTCGCGGAGCTCTCCTTCCAGGAAGGATCTCCATAGTCGTAGCAGTAGTCGTAGTCGCGGAGCTCTCCACAGGAATCTCCATAGGAGTAGTTTAATGTAGATTCCCCAAAACTCAAACACCCTCGTTCGAACGTAGTTTGGAGAGGTGTGAACCGTAGTAACGGTCGTTCTTGGTTAGAAGTCAGAGGTGCATCGATCAAATCAACGGCGCCGACATTCGACGGCGGATATTTGACGGTCGTCTCGATTTCAGCAATCAGCGGTGCATTCGATCAAACGGCACCGCAAGAGTTTCCATCGCGAAACATCAAATCAACATCGCCGGAAACAAATTCGGCACCGGCGGTGGCATTTGGTTTCCCCAGGAAACACATTTATTAAAAAACATAAATTCTGTAAATTTCTAAACAATTCAATACAAATATAAATTGATCAATAAATCACGCGACCAACAAGCCGGGCCAAAACTATTATAATATAAATGCTATTAAATAGAGTTTTTTAATAAGAAAGTGGTTAAGTACCATACATGGGCCTGTATAAGATCCATCATAACTTTCTCCCAACAATTCGAGTTATTGAGACCAACTAGTTATGACATGGTATCAGAGCTAGTTTGTTCTTGAGGTCACGTGTTTAATTCCTCACGGCCCCCAATATTAACCGCTCCGTCAACACGCTCCGAGAAAGCTTGCAGCTCATCGTCGCCGGTGAATCGAGCGTTGTACCCATCATCCGACTTCGCCATCGTTGTCCTTGTCACTGCTGATCGTCATTGGCCTCAACTCGACGTCGTTCCTCTTATCGTGCTCGTCGTCTGCGTCCCGACATCGCTGAATCATCATCGTTGCCATTGACAGGTGAGGCTGCTAGGATCTGAGCTCCCGCCAATGCCTCGCCGAGTCAGTCAAATTCATTCTACAGTCTCATTCAAGCATCGTCGATAGCTCCTGTCTCGCTGGTCCACCAAAGTTCTTGTTCCGTTCGTGCTGTTCATGCAAGCAGTCAACGTTCCACGAAGGTCAAGTTGGAGCTATATGTTTGCAGGGTTTCACCCCTAAGAAAATGGTTCTTACAGTCATGGTAATGGGCATTTTCATTCGTAGATTGAGAAGGAAATACCCACTTCACAATGTCTGTGCTCACATATGGATTTTGTGATGTTTTATGGTGCTCCTTTCCACTATTGCTAACTCTGCTCAGTCGTGGAAAGGTATCAGTTGTTGAATTCTTGTCGTACCATGCGACTCAAGCTCAGCCTTCCGGTCATAGTTGTTGGTCTTGTGCATTGATGTAGACGTTTTTGTTTACTTTCAAGCGGGCATTCACTACGTCATCCCTCAGCTTGAGGGGGAGAATAGGGTATCATCATACGTGGTCAATCAGTTCAGCATATCGACCACGGTGTATCAGTCAAGGAGGTTCCCTATTCTTATTCAAGAGAGACGATAGTCAGAACTCTCTCAATCTGTCTCATTTAAGAGAGGCGCAGTCAACAGGCTCTCGATCAATCTCATCCACGTAGAGGCGTAGTCAACCATCTCCGTCACGACGTTCAAGAAGACGCAGTCACCATCTTCGTCAGGTTGTTCAGAGAAAGAGTCAGTCATCTCCAGATCAATCTCATCCAAGATGTAAGGAATTTCGCCATGCTGAGTTTACTGTCAAAAGAACTGGGTCAAGCATGGAGTAGTTTCATCATTTGTCTACCCCTCCCGCAAGCGAGCAAAGTCACAGCCTGTTGGATCGTTATTGCCAGCAAGAGGTTCTTTGAGTGTTGTTCTTTTTCAAGCTCGACATTCTTGTCATTCATGTCTTCGCTTGATGGGGAGTGTTGAGGATATTAATTACTTAATCAAAAAGTAATTAATTCCTTGTTCTACAAATCCCTAGTTTTCCTTGTTCAAGTAAAAGAAGGAAACTTGGTTGTCATTAGGGTTTTAACCCTACGTTTATCTCTATATAAGTTTAGCTACGAGATTGTCGTAAGCAAGCCGTCACAATGTAGTCGTTCATTAAAACGTCAGCTGTGAGCTCTTCCGAGCTCACCGTGGATTAGTCTCGATCAATCAATCGATCAAGGATACCACGTAAAACTCTTGTGTTCTGTGTTCGTTTCAATTCCGCGATATCAAATTCTTCATTCTTCTTCCTCATTTCGGTCCCTAGCCCTCCAATTTGAAGTGGTCACCTCTATAGTGAATTTTCATTTCCTTTTCTACTTTCTCTTTCTTTTCCTCTATTCTAAAACAAGGGAAAATTTTTGTGGGAACCTTATTTTCTTCAATTGTTTCTTCTCCTAACTTTCCATATAAAGAAAAGAGGGCAGGAATTTTTCCCATCATAATTCACACATCTTATCCGCCATAATCCAAATAGTTAGTTTGAGAAAAAGAAAAGCAGAGACTTTCGTGCCAAATCCTTAGTTAGCCCTATTGCATCAATGATAGTTGGGTCTGTCATAAATAATATATATTTTTTGAATAAGAGTTGTATCAGTTTAATATTTTTATTTATTTATGATTGAGTGTTATTTTAAGGGATCTAAACACGAGATCTCCAAATTAACGACTAGTAACATTACAACTAGACCACACCGTTTGTTCATGGGCCAGGGTTGATAATTTGATTAATTTCTCATCCTAAAGGGGCGGGGGCACCCCATTTGCGCACCACCAGCAAAGCAATTGAGGTAGAGGAACACGCTCATGGTCATCGAATCATGCAGCTTCAACTATACCGTTAGCATTTAGCAATATCTACACCACTTTTCGACGAGATGCTAGACCAGAAAACATCATCATGTGTACCGTCCCAATCAATGAAACAGACAGCCATACACACTCGATACATATTCCTTCCTTTAGTCTATTCACTTGACCAGTTTTCCCACCCAAAAGAAAAGAGTTCAATGAACCTGTTTCTACTCCAACTATAATACTTTTGCCAATCATGTCTTCTGTCTTTTCTCGAACTTCCAAAGCAAAACAAAAAAATAATGAATGAAGATGGTAAAGAAGAAGAAAAACCTCCTCCCTCATGCTTTGAGGTCGGAGGCTGAAAGAGAGCTTCCCATAATTACAACAACTCCCATGAGAATTACAAGGAAGACTTGTACAGCATCACTGAACAGGAACAAAAGCAACACGGGAAATAAAGGACAGAAGTTGTTTTAAACAACTGGTAATTCCCTACAGAAAATGAAAAACTGCTTCCATGATGCTGTTTCCTGTCCTGTTGTCTTAACTAACGACAAATATGACACATGATGATGATGACGATGATGCAGAGAGGGGTGGGTCCACCACCCCATCGTGTCTAAGCTCCTCTACTTCTGTGACTATTATACACTCCAAATCCAATGCTGGGGGTTTTGGATTGGTGAAGAAAGAAAGAAAGAAAAGACCAGCTAAGAACCCTAAAAAGAATCATATGTTGATTCTAACCCTTGTCGACACCTTTGTACCTTCCTACAAGTTTGTCTCCATCCATCTTCCTTTGCTTTTTTACACCTATATGGAAATATATATAATACAGTTGCCAGATCAACCTCCCATGGCTTCTGGCATCCCGGCCACATGTACACTACTACTGCCAACAGGAGACTCTCCCTGAGCTCTGTAAGCAGCAGCAGCATGACTGGAGGGCATTAGGAAACAAGGACTGATTTCTCTGTTCCCAAATTCCCCCTTTCCTCCCACATTCCTTCCTTCTCCACCACATGGAGCGACTCGGGACACACGATGATGGCTGTGAACATCTATGGTGAGCATGACTATGTATGACCTGCACCAATCCACACACCTAGCAGTTTAATGCCAATCCTCACTGTGCTGATTGGTATATATGGATAGGTGTTTAGCAGTTTCGTACCTCTAGAATGCAAAGTAAAATGGCTTGCAAGGCTATAGATTCGAAGCCCGCCACTCAAGTAGCAGTTCCGCTGCTCTTAGTCCTGCTGCAGTCTTAAGGAATACCTGTAGACAAAACGAAAGAGAAGACACAACATACCTTTAAACATCGGCATCAACTTGGAGACATGGTTCCCGGACAATATTGCAAGCTCTAGGTTGTCATCCACTCACCTGGATCAACTCCTCACCCAGCTGTTTGGTCAGAACCGCTGCCTTGCATATACTGAGAAGGAGAAGGAACCATAAACTGTGGTTGTGCAGGAACATGTGTTGCTATCCCTGAATAACCATTTCAACGTAGCCAAATAGGTCTGCCTACGTTAGCAGTTCATGCTTAATCAATATTTCTCACCCCCCTCAAACCCAACTCCACCAAAAAATGCATAAAACCAATAACAATTAACGTGAGTGGTGCATGTGTGTGTTTCCACTTAGAAAATCTCGTATTACCATGGACGGAAGTAGATGATGACTGTCATAATATAAACCTTTGAACCAAGCTTATGATGTTTAACGAGGACGAAAGTGGGGATGCTATGCATAGATAATTGACGGTCATAAAATTTCAAGAGTTTAATATAAACCTGCTGGATATGGTGCTTGAATTGAGGGCATAGCTGAAGTCGTCATACCACTAACGCTGGGAGCACCAAACTGCACCAGCTGATGGCCTGGCATGGCATATCCCTGCATTGCGGGATATGAGTGACCACCATAAACTGTTTGACCTACCTGTCCATAGGGATAAACAGTTGTGTTGACCGCCCCGGGTACTCCGTATATCTGAAGGTACTGTTGGCCAGAATAAGGGTTGTAGACACCCTACAATAAATTTAATAACAAATATAAGTCTTTGCTAAATCAATAGAAGAAGATACAAAATGAACGACAACTAGAGTTTCTATTAAAGTTAGGGTTACCTGTGGGTAAACATATTCAGGCCCATAGGCTGCATAGCTGCATAAGTAGGAAGAGAACAGAATTGATGATGTCGGAAATGTTGGTAGCAACAAGTCTTGAGATATTAGAATGAGTAAATAGTGCATTCAATATCATTTCACAACAAGAGAAGTGATGTTACTAAATAAACTACATGTCCGTCCAGGGTCAAAGAATAAAGAAATAGATAATGCAAGGTGAGGACCAATGAAAAGTAAAGGAGCCTAACATCTGAAGCCTAGTTATCTGGGCTCTATTTCCAGGTTGGATAAAACCATGGTTGTGATCTTGCCTGTTAAATAAACATTGAGCTGACGCACATATCCACTGGAACTACGTTTTTGAATTTCCTGCAATTACCAATCACATGACATCACTTCTCTGGAGAACCTAAGAGCCTTGGTGTCATGACAGTGGATGTCATTAGCATAGACGAATAGCCACGAGACGAGAAAAGAGTGAACTATTAGAAAGCAGCTGCAGAGGACATGTACTCAATCTAGGAAGAAACGTCAAAAGCGCAGAAATATGAATGGAAGATCAACCAACACTATAATTGCGTTCACGGTACTGATTATTAAAAAATGCAAACGCGAATGCAATATCTTGGAAACGGACAAAACAAACTGCCCAGAAAACAAGGAACACTTAGAAGTCCGGGATATTCCCAAAAGTACACCAGCAAGGAAGAACACTTTATTTTCAAATACCAAGTCAGCATCTCATAGCTACAGGCAACCTATGTAATTTGTTAGGCACTGTAATTGAACCACTCACCCATATGGATGATATACCAATCCTTGCTGGTAGTTATAAGGAAGCTGCTGCTGGTAGCCAACACCTCCAACATAAGCTCCCCTTCCAGCTTGCACATTGGCAACATATGGGGTAGCTGGTCTCAAGCGCCCTAAAATAAAGCCCAGTAGTGACAGGAGTAAGCACGAAAGACAGACAGAGTAGAAATACCAAACATATAGAAGAACAATCAATTTTCTACCATTAAACAAACGTATTAAGTGGACAAAGAGATGGGGTATTGCCAATGTAAAGCTTCTGGACTTTGAGTTTACACCTTAACTCATGTTGGAACACCCACCCATAGATAGTAGAGACACCTACCGTAAGACATTGGCTGCCGTGGCCTCCCAAGCGATGCCAAATTGCAGTTTGCTCGTCTGCCATCAATGACTGGGGTGGGATCGGCACAGGCCCTCCTAGCAGACTCTGGATCCCGGAAGGTCACCTAAACCCTCCAGGCAAATACAAGCCAAGAAAACGTCATTCTCGAGGAATGAGGTGAAATAAAAGACAACTTTAGAAGAAGGAAAACAAATTGACATTGCCCGGCTGCGACCATCACAAGATTGACAAGGGAACCAATCAAGTGGCAAACAAAACAATCACTAGGCAAGCAAGCACGTGGAATCACGAAGACAACCAATCAATGAGCAGGGTATGCGATAGAATAGCAAACAAAGGACAGAAGGGGGGAAAGACGGGAATGATACTCACAAAACCGTAGCCCTTGGATCGGCCGGTGTTCTTATCGGTGATGACTACCGCCTCAAGAATGTCCCCGAACTGGTCAAAGTAACGGCGCATGGTGTCGCTTTGAGTTTCCCAGGCCAGGCCGCCGACGAAGACCTTGGTGTAAGTGGTTCCCTGCGACAAGCCATGGCATCAAAGCAATTAAGAAAAGGAAATGAAAACAAACAGTCCGCTCTGGTCCGAAAGCAATAAGAAGTCGTAATCCTTTTCACGGATATGATTACAGGTATAGAAACAAACCGAGAAAGTATACTCAATTTCCACATCCACAGGTCAAAAGCGAAAAACAGTTCAAGCATAAGAGAATTGGCAATGGCTGCAACGTGATCTACTCCACCTAACCCTCCCTCAGTATCCGGGGGTTCTCTTTTTTTGTGTGGAATCAGTATCCGGTTTTCGTTACAGTAAGCAGATCTATCCTCAGGAAAGGCCGATCTGAGCTAACATCGATAGTAACGAAGGAAGAAGAAGGCAGACTAGAAGAAAGAAAATTGCGATGAAACAGAGAGATAGCAAAGGGCTTCGGGATGGGCTCTAGCGGAACAGAGGACTGACTGTGTGTGCGAGTGAAACTGAAAAATGGAGAAGAGGAGGAGGAGGGAAAGCACTGAAGCCATGACATCAACTTCCTATGTGGTGGTGTTTGTTTACTTTAGCTGTGTTGAAGCAATTCGTACTAGCCAGTTGGCTGAGCTTCGGGCTGTTTGCGATTCTTTTGATATACCATTTGTGGTTATGGGGGATTTCAATGTTACTATTAAGGCTAGTGAAAAGGACGGGGGTAACGCTTGGAATGCCAACCAAGCGGCCGGGCTCCGGAACTTTATTTATGACCTAGGTCTCCTTGACCTAGGATTTCAGGGAGACCCGTTCACGTGGACCAATAAACGGATGGGGAATGCCTGCATTAGGGAACGCTTAGATAGAGCTCTCTGCTCTCAATCTTGGACAGCGACCTTCCCAGACACTCTTGTTAAACACTTCACGGATCAGGGATCGGATCACCGCGCCTTGCTTCTCTCAGACAAACCCTATGAGCGTCGAAGCAGACCTCTCTTCCGCTTTGATGCTCGATGGGCGCAAAACCCGGAAGTTCGCGCGATGGTGGCTTATGTCTGGCAGGAGGAAATCTCAGGTACCCCTATGTTCCAGCTATGGGAGAAACTCAAAAAGTTAAGGCATTTGCTTTATGACTGGAGTAGAGCAGGCACGACTAATTCTCTACGGAATATTCGCACCCTGCAGAAGGAGATTGATCGAATCAAATCTTGTTCTCCTATTGACTGGGATTCAGTGCGTGATTTGGAATCAGAGTTGAGTAGGCAATGGGAGGCCGAAGAAATTTATTGGCAATAGAAATCGAGGGTTCGGTGGTTAAAAAAAGAGGACCAGAACTCCTCTTACTTCCATACAGTAACGCGGACCCGCCGAAAACACAACTTTGTGGCTGGGCTTCGCAATGATGAGGGTGACTGGATCACAGAGGAGGAAGGAAAGGCTGAAATTGCTACTGACTTTTATCAGAACCTCTTCACGTCTGAATGCCAAGTGAACAACATGTCTGAGCGGGTGGATCAACTTCCTATTGATTGTCGTGTCACTGAGGTTATGAATGCGCGACTTACGGCGGTAGTCGTGCCGGAGGAAGTTCGGGCCACTGTTTTTAGGATGGGTTCCAAACAGGCCCCTGGGTCTGATGGATTCACAGGCAAATTTTTTAAAACTTTTTGGGATATCGTTGGACCTTCAGTGATCGAAAGCTGTTTGCTCGTTCTTTGAAACGAGTAGGATGCTTCGCAGCTTTAATCACACTTGGTTAACCTTGATCCCGAAAGTGGATAATGTGGAATCTATTCGACAACTAAGGCCTATAAGTCTATGCCAGTTCGTTTACAAGATTATTACTAAGATAATGGCGGAAAGACTGGCTGCTTTCCTCCCGGAGATTATCACGGAAGGGCAGAATGCCTTCATTCGGGAGCGCCAAATAGTGGACAATGTTCTGCTAGGTCATGAACTAATGCACTATCTAAAGACCAAAACGCGAGGGAAGAAAGGGTATATGGCTCTGAAGGTTGACATGGAAAAGGCCTATGATAGAGTTGAACGGCCCTTTCTACTCGCGGTAATGGCCAAGATGGGATTTAGCTCCATTTGGTGCGATTGGGTCCACGAATGTCTCAAATCGACGTCTTTCTCGGTTATGATGAATGGGAGTCCGAAGGGGTACTTCTCGCCCTCCCGGGGCCTTCGCCAGGGTGATCCCCTTTCTCCCCTGTTGTTCGTCTTATGTACAGAGGGGTTTGCGGCCCTCTTGAGGAAAGCCATTACTGAAAAGAGATTGCAAGGAGTTAAAGTGGCGCCGCGGGCACCACGTATCTCCCATCTGTTCTTTGCGGATGATTCGTACTTGTTTCTCCGTGGATCTCTCCAGGAGTGCGAGAATCTGATCACTGTCTTGAATGAGTATGAGGAGCTGAGTGGTCAGAGGGTCAACCTAGCCAAATCGGCAGTTTATTTTAGTAAGAACATTGTTGTTCCGGATCAGGAGTTCCTGGGGCAAGTGCTGGGGGTGGGGGCTATTGGTGTCCATGATAAGTACCTGGGATTACCTACCCTTATAGCCCGATCTAAAATGGAGACGTTTCGCTATTTGGAGGAGAAGCTTCTTGCTCGGTTACAAGGTTGGAAGCAGCGTACCTTGTCGTGGGCGGCGAAGGAGACTTTAATCAAATCAGTGGCCTTGGCGCTTCCTCTCCATGTTATGTCCTGTTTCAAGCTCCCACTCTCACTGTGTCGGCTCTTGGATAGACATATTGCCCGATTCTGGTAGGGGTGGAGAATGGACATGATAAGGTGAGATGGATGTCTTGGCGCAATATGTGTCGTAGTAAGCATGAGGGAGGGATGGGATTTAGGCGTTTTGAGCACTTTAACCAGGCCCTGTTAGCTAAGGTTTGTTGGCGCATCTTAAGTGAACCTGATTCGCTTTTAGCCCAGGTGTATAAAGGGAAGTATTTTCCTAGGAGTGGTTTCCTTGAAGCGCATGCGCGGTCTCGGCCCTCCTGGGGGTGGCAGAGTATTCTATTTGGGCGACAGCTTTTGAGCCAGGGCCTTCGTTGGCAGATTGGTAATGGCCAGACATCCCCTCTTCTCCAGGATAGCTGGGTTCCCAGTCTGCATCCTTTGGTCCCTTCGTTTAACCCTTGTGTGCTGCCTGAGAATGAGGTCTTGCGGGTGGCATCTGTCATTGATAATGAGGAGGGCTCCTGGAGCGATGATGGTTTGGCTCGATGGTTTGACCCTCGCACCTGTCGGCTCATCAAGGAGATTCCTCTTCCTCGTGGCAATGTTGCGGATCGGCTTATTTGGCATGGAACGCAGGATGGTGTTTTCACTGTGAAATCGGCTTACCACCTGGCGGGGCATTTGGAAAGGATGGAAAACCGGAGCCGGTCCTCGGTCAGTTGGATGGACAAGCCTAGTTGGATTCGCGTTTGGCAGGCCCCTGTCCCCCCAAAGCTTCGGGTCTTCCTCTGGCAAATTCTGAATCGGCTCCTTCCAAATACTGAAGCGCTGATTGAGAGAAAAATCCAAGTGCACCCCCGTTGCCCTGTTTGCTGGGCGGAATCTGAAACTTTGGAGCATCTGTTTCTGGAGTGTCCTGTGGCCCGAGCCATCTGGGATTACGCCGGTTTGGAGTATCTCGGGCAGGGGTTGCCTCGCCACACTTTTCCCTTGTTCCTGAAGAGATTGTTGAACCTCCTGAAGCAGGACCAGTTGATTATGGCGGTGACGGCAGTCCTCTGGCGAATTTGGAGGTCCCGGAATTGGGTAGTGTTTGAAGGGAAACAGTTTGGGATTCCTGCTTTGATGAGACAGTACCACCAGCAGTACCAGGAATGGATTGGTCTACCGAAGGAGAAAGCCCAGTGTGTTCCTGTTGCCCCGGAGGTTGAGGTTCCACACTGTCCTCTGATCTGCTTGTGGGATGGGGCTACCAGGGCCGCATCGCACTCGGCAGGAGGGATGGTGGTGGTGAATCACTTGGGGGACATTCTGATAGCCAGAGGCTTTCTGTTTGATGGCATTGAGGACCCTTTGGTTGCTGAAGCGCTTGCTCTTCGTGATGCTGTTCTCTGGTGCCGGGACTCGGGGATTGTGGAGGTGCGTTTTGAGGGGGATGCCAAGGTGCTGATTCAGAAGATTATTCAGTCAAACACTAGGGATAATAGAGTGGGGGCACTTCTTGAGGAGATTGTAGGGATGCTGGGTTCGTTGGGAGGTTTCTCTGTTCGGTTTGTAGGTCGGCGTAGCAATAGGGCAGCCCACTTGGTGGCTAGAAAGGCTCTTTCTTTGTACCCGACTATGAGTCGTTGCTTTAATTTGCTTGCCTGGCTCAATGTCAGGATGTAATTACCTATGTTTTTTATCAATATATCGATTATCTTTTGACAAAAAAAAAACATCAACTTCATTCAACATGATTAGAAAGAAAAAATTAGACATGTCTCCACAAACATAAATAAGATTAATTGTTTATAATATTAAATATACCGAGAAAATTAATTATATAGGTGTGGGCGGGTACCCATGGGTCGGGTTTACCTAAACCCAAACCCAACCCAACTCGGTGAATAGTGAACGAGTTTAAACCCAAACCCGGCCCAAAACCCGTCAACACGAATTTTACCCGCGTTGACTGGGTTGGGTCCGGTGGGTACCCGTGGGTTCGGGTTTTGTTGTCATCCCTATTCTGTAATACACTATCTATTACCATGACAATTTTTTTTTTTGGGCCACCAGCTATGAAGCAATCTGTTCGGCCCATAATTAAGCTAGCCAGCTGAAACTAGAGAGCCCAAAGCCCAAAGGTAGTGGGCAACCCCGCTAAGAGAGCAGGAGCAGCGAACACAACCAAATCGTGGGAAGTAGCCAGAGCCATAGAAGCCTGGACCGACTTGGATCGGAATATGGCGGTTCTGAATTTTTTGCCCTAAAAACGAAAAACCCTGATAAGCTATCCCCACAATCCACACACAGCCCGTCTCAGTGGATCGACGGAGGCCTCATTACCGACGAACAAGTGAACGGAGAAGAAGGAAGCTTCCGACAAAGCTAAGCTGCCAG